TTACCTAATTACTAAATAAAAATGTGTTCTGCAGTATCTTTAAACTATTGATTTCTTTATTTTGGGTTGGAAAAGTGGGGGTCGTCTTGTACATGGGGGCGTCTTATTGATGGAAAAATACGGTAGTTCTATACAGTCCCGTTTGGGGCTTTCCGTAGTTATTCCAATACTTTGAATCTGACTCAGTCTTTTAAACAGGTGTGATAAGTGCACAGGAAGTGCACTTCTGGATAGAAGAAAGAACTGTTTTTGAGATTAGAAGTGTGCACAAAGTAAACAAGAATATGCTTTGAGCTCACAACAAAACAACTCCACTTGGCATTTTTATTGGAATAACTCAAGCAGAATTTTGCATTTGGCAGCTATCTAAAATTCCCTGATAGTTTGCATTATGTTTTTATCATAGTGATTATAAAGCCTGTAGTTAGTCTACAACTAAGCTGCCACTGTAACCCAACTTTTTAAATTTTTTATTTAATATTGAATGCCAGATCAGCAAGGCAGCATCATTAGTATGTATGTATGTATTTGGTACATTTGTATAGCTGCCCATCTCACATATAGGACTCTGAGTGGCTTAAATTAAAAACACAAAAACAATACAACAAAATAAAAAACATAACAACAAAAATCATTAAAAAATAATGAAAACCATTAAAAACCATTAAAAACATAATCTGTGGGAAAGTGCACTCAATTTCATTAGTAATACAGCCACTTTGTAGGCTCGATACCCACATTACGGGATCTCCAGGCCAGATGGCAAAGCCATGTTTTCAGGCCCTTCCAGAAAGCCAGCTAAGTCAGGGCCAATCTATCTTCAGGAGAATGATGTACCAAAGGGCGGGTGCCACAGTAGAAAAGGCTCTCCTCCTGGATCCTGTCAGATGACATTCCTTTGTGGATGGGACCCTCAACATGTCCTTCCTGCTGGACCTGATATGATTGGGGAGAGACAGCCCTTCAAATAACCCAGCCCCATGCCATGTAGGGCTAATAAGGGTAATCCCAATTCCAGAACAGCATAGGCTCCCTGTTACATCCATTAGAAGCCTGTTGTGCTCAGGAGTTACAGTTCTAACCATTTGAGATTACTGAAGATATTCTCATAGGGTTCTCTGTTCCTCTTCTAATAACTGGATATAGAAAAGATCATTTGTTTCAGTGGAATTACTATGTGGCTATAGTGCAAAGAATGAATTGGAGGGGAGCACTTGAATTGCATCTGGAAGCTACACCTGGTTCAAAATGTGGCCGCATGGACAATCTTGGGTGCTGCAAGGATGGCACATATAACACCTTTACTGCGGGAGCTGCATTGGGTGCCAGTTTGCTTCCGGGTCCAATTCAAGGTGTTGGTTATCACTTTAAAGCCCTACATGGCATGGGTCCAGGTTACCTAAGGGACCGTCTCACCCCCATTACATCAGCCTGTCCTACTTGGTCAGGCAGCGAGGACATGTTGTGGACTCCGTCAGCCAGAGAATGTCAGCTGGCAGAGCCCTGGAGGAGAACCTTCTCTGCCGTCGCCCCAGAGGTACGGTGGGCCCTACCTTCCTGGCTTTCCAGAAAGGACTAAAGACCTGGCTCTGCCAGCTTGCGTGGGGTGCTAAGACTCTAATCAATCCTGGGGGTGGCTGGCACCCTGATGACGCTCCCTGAGCTACTTGCCAATTCCATCAATTCTTAGAATTTATTGATTATTTATTTAAGACTGTTTTTATATTGTATTTTAATTGATTCTATCTTCTCTGTAAACCTCCCAGAGACACTTTTTAACGAGATGGGCGGTGACAAGATAGAATGAATGAATGAATGAATGAATGAATGAATGAATGAATGAATGAATGAATGAAT